TCTCGATTTATTCAGATTACTGTATATAAATATTTTGGCAATTTTACGCTCTTATGAATCTCATGTTTTTCATTATTTTAGATAAATTAAAATGTTTTAATGAATTAGTTATTGAACAAAGAAAAAAGAAAATTGTGTGAAATATTGCGATATATTGACCGCAATTTACAGTCAAAATAAATTGCTATAAAAATAGACATAAAGTTATTTTGTGTGAAATTTTCTCATCCGAATACAGAAATCATATGAAACATTGAAATGCAAACCTTTAGACCTAAAGCCAATCAAAGTTACTGAACTTGAAGTCTATTTCTTAAGTCTATTTCTTAAGTCATCACAAAATCACAAACAGTGAAGAGCTTTGAATCTGTAATTCCGGTTCAATTGTATTGTCATCTCATCATTGGTTGTGTCCATCATTTTGCATTCATTGAGCCGAATGTCATTAAAAGCACTGAAAACGATATATTTTACACACTATTCGGACTCAACATGTTTTATTCGGTGCTAATTATATTTTATTGCTATAAAGTTATTTTTGTAAAATCATCAGGTATTTAATTGTTTCGGAAATTATTTTTGCATTTTATTTATTATTTATTAAATTAATTCCTTATTGAAAATAGTGTTGAATTCAATCATTACATCAGAAGAGTTCAATAATTTCAAAATTATACCATTAAATAAAATTCCGTTCAAAATGCTCGAAAACTACAGAAATATTACAAAAGTTATTGATTTGGTTCGTGGAAATGCATTGCAAACCATTGGAAATACAGTGATTGGATTAAGATCACCATCAAGATTTGGATTGGGTTTGCATTAATTAATTAATTTTTATTATATTTATTCTATTGTCTATTTTCCTATTAATTATTTGTGTTGTTAACAGATATTAGAGACAAAACTATTTTTAAGGAATCGAAAAGAATTATTAAAAACATATTCTTAAGGAATATATTTCGCCGAAAAGTGTTAATATTAAGTCAATTTAAAGCCGTTATTATGAACGTAATGAACGAAATAATGGCCGATAAAGTGCTTAATATACTAATGGACTTATCGTTGACAGTATTTATATCTATGATTATCTCTATTTGTACGGTAAGTCTTCAGCTGTTTGGTTACGCCGAGGGTCAGGCTATTTCATGGTGTGTCATCACAATTGTGTACCCGGTTATAACTATAATGAAGCCCCGACAAGTTGGAAATACTAACCCATAACATTTATATAAACCGATAATAATTGTTTTGCTATATTTTTTATAATATCATACAATAATTTGTTACGAAATTTTGTAATTACTTGTTTTTGATATCTAATAAATACTAATACTTAAGTGAATCTATTATCTAATTATTTAAATATTCATCACAAGTCATATGAATAAAATAAATGCTGGCTTTGCGTCATTTGAGAGCAAACTTAGACATAAAATCGGTTTTTAGATATATATTAAAAACAGATCGAAAATTGCTGTTTTAATAGGTTATTAAATATTGAAATTATAGATCATTTGAAACTTATTTTAATCATTACTTGAAAGCCATTGACGTAATTCAGTTGGCAGTCAATGTCAGTGTCGGTACAGCTTTTGGGGTTGTTATCGTTTATCACAATTTACATAATTAAACCAATTATTGATTCATAATTATGAGAGAACTTATCGAAGTGTGCTTTTGCTTACTGTATTGATTTGATTTATAGGCATAGATAGGCTTATGACACAATCAATACAATAATTCAACCAATTTTTGCATATAAAAGTAGAATAAAATACAAAAACCAAAACATTATCCATTTTTAAATAGTTATTTGCTTTTCAAATAAATATATATTCTGTTTACTAAAAGTTTTCACTTGTTTCGTGCAAATATCTGTGTAAATGTAACAGAAGTAACATTATTGCAATTATGACTTTTACTGGCAAAGTTGTTTTGATAACTGGTATTGTATTTGAATTATGAGTCAAATGTCGACATTATTAAGGAATAATGGATATAATGGATAAATATAGGGTCGAGTTCGGGTATCGGTGCTGTGGTGGCCATGCATTTTGCACGACTGGGCGCCCACGTTGTGGTCACCGGTAGGGATGTGATGAGAACGAGACGAGTAGCCCATCAGTGCAGATGTGTTGCCTCAAGAAATGCTGAGGTTTGCCATGAAATGAAAATTTTTAAAATCATAAATATATAATTTTCATATCATTTCCAAATATATTACTCTTTGAATAAATGATGAGTGCAAATAAGTAGACCAAACCACTAATGTATAAATCTATAAATCATCGACAATTTGCAAAGTTTTTATTTNAAATCATAAATATATAATTTTCATATCATTTCCAAATATATTACTCTTTGAATAAATGATGAGTGCAAATAAGTAGACCAAACCACTAATGTATAAATCTATAAATCATCGACAATTTGCAAAGTTTTTATTTAATTTAAAGTCATAAATCATATCAATCGCAACACACAGTATATCCGTATATGAGAAGCAATTTCTCACAATTATATTGTCGACCAACAGGTGATTGAAGTGATCGCAGACCTGACCAAAGACTGCGATATTCGACGCCTGATTCGGACCACTATTGAAGAGTTTGGAAAACTCAATGTTTTGGTGAACAACGCCAATGTGAGCGGAATCTCACCGATCGATGACCCGAAGTCGGCCTATATTTTCAATCATATAATGCAAGTCAACATTAGGGCACCTCTTCTTCTTTGGTAATCATTTCATATTATATTTTCAATAATATTCGTCCAAAAAAGTCAAAACCCATTCATTTGGAAAGCGCTATGAATGTAAAAAGTTTTATTGATTTTTGTCAATACTTTTTTCAGTCAGTTGGCAGTACCGCACCTGGAGCTTACTAATGGGTCAATAGTAAACGTGTCGAGTCGTGCGGCCACTAATCCGGTTTGTCTAGAAAATCACATATTATACCTATAATAGATATGA